ATAGATTATATGCAGCTGTAATAGTTTCCTAAATATGTATATGAATTTTTATATTTAATTCATATGGGAGGTGCCAAGCCCCTATTGAAAGTCCTCCAAATTTTTTTCTCTAAATATTCACATCGATGTGAAAGTTCGTGTTTTTCGTGTACAGTTTGAGCATTCTAGATCTAATAGTTTCTCAGATATACTTTATTTTTTGTATAAATTCATATGGGAGGTGCCACGCCCCCTATTTGAGTGTGACTCCGAACAAATTTGAGTACTTTAAGTGTTGTTTTCTTTATATGAGGGATGCCACACCCACTGTATCTAGGCCGCCCATTTTGTCCCCGAGTGTTGCTATGGACATGTGTATGTATATTTCGGATTATGTATATATATTTCGGATTGACCTGGTCCTTTCGGTAACAAACATTTTCACTTGAAATATCTCTTGTAATCTCTTGGCTTTTCAAAAAGTATAAATGCGTTTTATATGCCTTCTTGATAACTTCGACCAGTAAATGACAAATAATCTGATAAAAGTGGGTCAAAAACTTGAATCGGTGCACAATGGTGATCAAAAACAGAATCTTTGTACTTTAATATTTTATAAAATAATAATAAATATTAATATTTTATAAAATTGTTCAATTTAATTTGTTCTTATACCCGGAATCTACTTTGAAGACTTTTGGACCGGATATATGTAAGTGGGTTAAACTTTATCTTAACTTCTTTTGAAGGGATGTGAAATTTTATTGTAAAACATTACTAATCTGTCAGTTCGATGAAATCAAAAATAATTCTTTTGTAAAGTCGAAATTGGAAACCTTTATGACTCTGCCCTCTTCTAAAGTAATCTGCTCAGATTGGCTAATTTAAAGTTATTTTAAAGCCATTTATTATAGTTTTTTCATAAATTACTTCTTAAGCATTGCTTGTATGATTAAGTCTTCAAATGATTAAATTCCTAAAAAAATTACTGTAAGTGTGAATAATTAAACTTAAAGTTTCAATTCTATTTTTAGTATAAACTAACATTAATTTAATTTTTTTTTCTAAATATTTATACAATAAACTTGAATTGCTCCAGGCAACTTGAGCCGCACTTTTATTAGCATACGCACGCGCCCTTATTTAACAATCATAAACTAAACACAATTAAAAGCTTTTAATTTATTTAAATTAATTCATATTAATTAAAGAAATTTATGAAAAAATATTAAAAAAAAATCTCAAAATTAAAAATTCTTAATCTAGTCTTCATGCTTGAGAGAAACAAAATCAGACGATTTTAAGTCGTAGAGAAAGACATATAAAAGAAAAAGTGGTAAATATTTATAAAAGAAGTTATTTTGCCAAAAAAAATCTTGGGAAAGAACTAAATAATATAAGTTTTGTTTTATATTTTCAATCTAGCTTTTATATTATATAAATTTGTTTATTAACCAGTAATATTAATCAAATATTTTCTTAAAAATATACCACGTTTTCTTCCTAATTTATTTTTTATTAAACTGCATTTTTTTTATTTTAAATCACGTTTGAGTTTTTAATCAAACCATTTGTGTTCTAAATTTATTAAAATGGTTGCTTTTAAAACTAGAATTTTATTAAAAATTATTTTTATAAACTTTATTATTTTACCGGTAATTAATTATTATAAGCATTTTAAGAGTTATTAATAAATTCGTTATATTGAATAGAAAAGATTTTTTTTGAAAAGAATTAATAAATTCAGAACAAAATAAACACGTTTTTTGAAAAACAGGCCGCCATTTTTAAATAAGGAAATTTATATGAATTATTGTCATAGTCAATTCTAGACAAAGTTTAACGCCGGCAAAATCTTAAAGGCGGCGGCTGTCACTAAAAGAAACGATGGAAGCTTCAAATAGTATTTTATTGCTTAAAATTGGCCTTGAACTAGTTCTTAGACATAGAATCTAGGTCTAGTATTTTGAAAAAAAAAACATTAAATTATTCACAAACATTTTATCACTAGGCTACATAAACATTTGTGGTAAAATTCCCACTGCATACTTCAAAGTATTCCATAAAGAAACTAATTAATATTAATTTACTCAAAAGTTCTTTAAAAAATTCTTAAATAGTTAATTAACCGTTAAGAGCAAATCTTAAAAAAATAATGTCAAACTTAATTTAACATTTAAAAAAAAATATATATACATATTTACCAGCAAGCAATTGGTCTCCCAAAAAAATACCAAAATAGGTATTTGAGTTAAACAAAAAAAAAATGTTTTAAAATTGTTTATTTATTTGTTTTTTAATATCGTATTTTTTTATACACCAAATACTTGTATGCATTTTGATTAGTTTTTTTGTTTACAAAAACATGGGAATTTTTTTTTATAAAATTCAATTTATGAAAGTATAAAAAACTTTATTTACTAAAAATATTTTATTCGTTTCAATTATTGTTATTATGAGGTCCTGTTTTTAATGATGAAAATCTGGCTAGGCAGACTGCACCTTGTTTTTATATTTGTTTATACCATACTATTTTTAAAATAATAATTCTATTTATAATAATTTTATTGTAAAAAAAAATTCAAATCCATTAAATTAATTTAAACATTTTTTTGGTTTTTTTGAGTCCAACATTGACATTGTCACCGTTTGCACTTCGCTAAGAATTTTGTTGTGTTTTTAACTTTTATATTTTATTTTCGCATTTTTTGTATTAGAGACCTTCAGTGGGTTGTAGATTTGTTTCTTTGATTATTTGGTTAGTAAAAATGAGAATAAAACCAACTGCTATTTTGTAGTAAATTATTGTTTTTTTTAACATCTTTCAATTACAAATGAACTAACAATGAAATTGAAGGATGAAATTTATGGGTTTTTAAAAGTCTTTTAATTACAGTTTAAATATGATTTTAAAAATATCAAAAAACTTTACAAATACTAATTATAATTTTTTTAAATTATAAGAAAACAAAAAATAAAACGCATACTCCAAAATTTCGGTTTTGTGATAGTTTCAATTTTGGCCCCGTAAAGCAATGTCCGTCATTCAACTTACATAAATCAAGGGTTGGAGGAGAGTGACACATATACTTGTGTAGACGAACCTGCACACGTGTGAGTGCAAGAGAGTAAGAAACCTTTTATGACAAATCTTTGTCTATAGCTGGTTTAAAAGAACAATTTAAATAAGAGTAAATTTAATCGGCTATAAAAAGCCCCAATGTTTGTTTGTTTGTTTAATTCAAGATTAAGAGGTTCCATACATTGTACAGACCCAGTCCTTTAATTAGATCATTATCTCGATTTTTTTACATATTTTGGATAAGAGATATTGTGTAGAGCCAATTGTGGTCCGAACTCCATCAAATTTGATAGAGAGATTATGGTTATTTTAGAAAATATCGTTTCACCTTTATACTGCTACTTTTAAGACTTATATGGTGCTATGGACTAATATGGCCCGATGTTCGCCATACTTTGCGATCAAATTTCTGGATTTCCGAGAAGTCACTTATATGGAATCTAAATAAAATCGTGGACCGATAAAACTTATCAATAGAGAATATTTGCCGAATGATTCAACCCTCTAGCTCCTTTTTTTGGGACCTATATTGATTTCAACAGACGTAGCTATAGTAAATCATCTAATATAAGCGGATATTATATAGGGGCAAATATGACGTTCGACAGTTTAATAAGACTTACTTGTGTAAAATTTTTGTTTGTTTGAACTATATACCGAGAAGTCACTTGTATGGGGGCTAGATGAAATCTTGGACCAACAAACCTTAACAATAGAGAATATTTGTGGAAATTTCAGCCCTATAGCTCCATTCGGTTGGGCCCTATCTTGATTTCAACAGTCAGAAAGACATAGCTAGATAGTCTTGGAATCTAATATGGACTCAAAATATATCTAGAATTGCTGGTATAACATTTTTAAAAAGTTTTCAACAAAAATTGATAAATAAAAGAGAATTTTTCGAACATCTTGGAATCTAAAATTTCTGGGTTAATAAAACTTACTTGTAAAAAAATGTTTTTTATTTGAACTGTATTCCGAAATGTCATTTGCATGGGGGCTATATGAAATCGTAGATCGACAAACCTTATCAATAGAGAATATTTACCGAAATTTCAACTTCATAGCTCCTTTCGTTTGGTAATCATCTTGATTTCAACCGACAGACGGACATAGCTAGATCGTCTTGGAATCTAATGTGGACTCAAAATATATATAATTTTGCTGGTATAAGACCTTTTTCTGATATGTTACAAACAGAATGACAAGATTATAGCTCATTTCGTTTAGACCCTATCTTGATTTCAACAGACTGAAGGACATAGCTGGATCGTCTTGGAATCTCGTATGGATGTCTAATATATTTTGTTAATATTAGAGATTAGTAGATAAGATGATTGTCTACTTTTCACTAGCCTAAGGACTAGTCCTTAGGTAAAAATATAAATATAAAATCTTTATGCTTGTTAAGCTTTCACAAAAGTTTTCGAATATTTCAATTCATGTTTTGGGGAATAATTTTTTTTTTTTTTTTTAATATTAAAATATTGGCAGTTGTACCTTACACTCAGCATTAGTAGAAAATCAAAATTAGTTTTAATTTTAAATATTTTTTTTTATTAAAAAACACTTTAACTTAACTAAAGAAATTGATTCAAGGATATTCATAAATTCTTTAATATTTTAAAATCAGAAATCAAAACAAGTCTGTTTTTTTATTTAATATATAAATTTATTCAACATTCTTTTTCCTTAACTTTAAAGCCATAATTTCTTTCTTTTTCACTTAATCACTGACCTTTAACAATATTATTATTGTTATTAATATTGTATAGAATTCAGAGAATTAAAAAAAATATAAACAAAATCCGCTTGTCATTATAAAAACACTTCTGGTTTAAGATTTCAACACAAAAAATTTACACATCAATTTTTAAAAATTAATTTTATTTTATAACAAGAAACAAAAAAAATCAATAAATAAACGTAAACAACTTACTTGCAGTTTTTGAAGAATTTGTTGTAAATAGTTTCATTTTAAATAAATAATAAAATTAATTTCTTAAAAAACTCAAAAAAAAAAAAAAATAAAATTTATTTTATTACAATTTTATAACTAGGAATTTTTGTTATATTTTTTTGTTTTTATCTTTGCTTAACATGCAAACATCACTTCACAGTTTTTTTTTTAATTTTTATATAATTTTTTTCTTAATATTTATTTAATAATTTGTTTAAGCTTTTAGTTTGATTTCTTTTTATTACGGATTTATTTATTTTGTTTATATTAATTTTGTTTGTTTGTTTGTTTATTTTCTTTTATTTATTAAAACAATTTTTAGTAAATTTTAGTTTTTTTTTAATGTAGTTATTCTTGTTGTTGTAGTTTTTGTGGGACAACTTCTAAACCGTCTGAAACAGTTGAAATCAATGTTCATCTCATAACTGCTGCATAACCCTTTTATATAGACTTTTTTCTTAAAACCCCAAAACAGACAAAAACAGAGTCTTAATAGTCAATGTATAGTGTTTATTAACCGGTCTGTCTATTTTAGCGGAGATTTTATTTCATTTTCATGATTTCGGCAAAAAGCTATAGACACGGCAACAGACTAAAATCCAAAACCAAAAGCCACAGAAAAGCAGCAGCGTATCCAAGCAGCTCAATAATTCTTGGTGCGTTTGTTCGTATAAAATCGTATATAGTTTAGAGTTAAAAAAAAAAAAAACTCAGCTAGCAAAAACAATCTAAAACTCAAAAGCAAACAAAAACAAATTCAAAAGCAAAAATACTGAAAAAAGCTCATTCTTGACCAGTTCCCAGTGAAACAGAAGCAACAACAAAGTCAAAAAAAGTAAACAAACAAATGTATTATCAGTTTAGCTTATTAACGTGTTTTTTTTTGTATCTATGTGTTTAAGCATAGTTCAAGCAATTGCAGCTTTTTTTTTTTTACCATCGAGTGTTTTTGCCTTTAAGTCAAGCTCTATTTTGTATTTGGCCTAAACGCTCAAAGTTTGTGTGCGTCTCTAAGTCTGGCTAATGTATGATGTAAAAGTTTAAGGGTTGCTAGACAAACACGAGCCATCATGAAGTCTTTTAACCATTAAGGTTTTTGTATTTATTTCTTTGTACCTTAAACTTCTAAATTTTTAAATCTTATTCTGTGTAAAAACCCGATTAGAACTTAAATATTCTAAATAAATTATTATTAAGACATGCTTTTAACAAATCAGACCCAATGAGAAATTTTGTTAGACCCGAATAGTTTTTATAATTATTTAAAATGGAAATTTTATCAATATTAAAATACCTATCTCAATATTGGATCCAAACTAACAACGTTCAGCATTTAATAAAATGAAAAAAAATTTTGGATTTTAATAAAATAATTATATCGTAATATAACTTTATTCCAATTAGGTTCTCGAACTAAAAAATATAGTATGTAATAATAGAATACATATATTTACGCAACATTTGTTTAAGTCTTTATTGCCTTTTTTGGCAATTAAAAATATTTGGAATTTTTTTTCTAAAGTTGTCGCATATTAAAGGTTAATAAGGTGAATCGCATTAAATATTGACGTCTGTATAAGAATATAGTATAAATGAAAATACTTGAAAAATTATTATTAAAAATATATTTTTAAAATTTTATTACTAACACACTTGCAACATAAAAATTTTTAATACATAATATCAAATTACATAAGAAAAATTCTTGAATTAAAAGTTCATACTTCCGAAAGTTCATTTAAGCAGACAGAAAGAAAGAAATTTTCAAAAATTGTATATAAATAGATAATTTAACGAAATTTTTTAAGAAAAAGAGATATTTCAGTAAAAAGAAAAAATTAAAAAGATATTGTCAAAATTTTTTTTTCAAATTTTTTAAAAATTTTTTTTAACATAAAAGACTTTTTTTCAAAAATAATTCTTTTGGAAAAATGTTAAAAAAAAATCTATAAAAAGCAGACATTTTTAAAAAACAGTATTTTAAGAAAATGTCTTACAAAAAAAAAATATTTTTCAAAAAAGGAGATTTTTTTAATTTTCTACAAAGATAGAGTTTTTCAAATTCTTTTTAAAAATTTCTATTAAAATAAAGATTTTTTTTAAATTTTCTATAATAGAAAGAAAACTTTTTTAAAAGGAACAAAATTAAAGAAAATTTTGCACAAAAAATAAATTAGAAAGATTTCTACAAAAAAAATTTATAAAATATAATTTTTCGAACATTTTCTATAAAAAGAAAATATCTTCGAAATTTTTTCTAAAAAGAGGATTTTTTTTCAAAAAATTTTGTAAAAATTTCTGTAAGGATAAAAAAAAATTTTTTAATAATTTCTATAAACAGCAGTTTTTTTTTGAAATTTTTCCAAAAAAAAAAGATTTTTTCAAAAAGATTTTTTTTTTTAAAGCAAGTTTTTTAAAAGGAGAACTTTAAAAATTTTCTACAAAAAGAAAATTTTTTAGAAAGTGTTCTACAAAAATGGATAATTAAAAAAGTATCTACAGAGAATTTTGCAATATTTTTAAAATGAGAATTTTTCGAACATTTTCTATAAAAAGAGCATTTCTGTGAAAATTTCTATAAAAAAAATTAAAATCTATAAAAAGAAAGTTCTTTGAGAATTTTTAGATAAATTGCTATAAAAATATTTTTTTAAAAATTTCTAAAGAAACAAAGAGATTAAAAACAAGTAAGAGTGCTTATATACCCTTCGTCATGATGTATTAAAAACACATTCAGTACAATTTTTATTACAAAAAATAAAAAAATACCAGTTGTAAAACGAAAAAGTGCCAAAAAGTCCCTTTTAATCTGGCCTGTACATGCATAATTTCATACTTCTAGGTTGAATATTATAGAAAATTCAAAAAGTACCTTTTGAAGATCGAAAAAGTACCAAAAACTCCCATTTTATATGTTCTCACATATTCCGGGTTCTACATGCGTAATTTCATGTTTTTTGGTTCAATATCAGTACCAAAAAATTCCCTTTTATGGGTTCTTACTTAATACGGGCTCTACTTACTTTATTACATGTTTCTAGGTTCAATATTATAGAATATTCAAAAAAATACCTTTTAAAGAACGAAAAAGTACCAAAAAGTCCCATTTTACATGTTCACACATACTACGGGTTCTCTTGCTTAATTTCATGTTTCTTGGTTCTATATTATATAAAACTCAATAAGTACCTTTTGAAGAACGAAAAAGTACCAAAAAGTCTCCTTTTATCCGGGCTCTACATAATAAATTTCTCACATAATCCGCTCTCAACATGCTTAATTTCATGTTTCTAGGTTCAATATTATAAAAAATTCCAAAGTACCTTTTCTACCGTTCTTCTCGAAAGCATGTCTGACAGAATTATTGAAAATTCGGATATTTGGGGTCTTCTAAAAACTGATCTCAACAGACAGACATACAGACGGACGGACATGGCTAAGTCGACTCCGCTATCTATAAGGATCCAGAATATATACATACATTATAGGGTCGGAAAATTATATTATAGAAATTACAAACGAAATGACAAACTTCTACATACATATATACCCTTCTCACGAAGGTTAAGGGTACACAGATGAAAAAAAATATACACGCCTGGTACCAAATTGACACCAAATTTTTCAATAACATCCTTTTTCAAGTATATACATACATACAACAACAACATGTAATGTAGACCACGCAACTTTGTCAACATTACAACAATTCGTTATCGCAATCTAAACTTTATGCACATCCGTTGTCTAAAAGTTAACAAACGTGGTAAGCTCAAAATGCGTTGTAAATAGTGAGCTTATCACGTTTGTTAACATTTAGACAACGGATGTGCATACAGTTTAGATTGCGACAACGAATTTTTATAAAAAGAACATGAATATGTTATTATCGAAAGTGAAGAGATTTTTTTTAAATTTTCAAAAATTTCTATAAAAAACTAATTTTTTAACAAGATATGTTTTTTTAAAATTAAATAAAATTTTTGAAAAATGTTCTTAAAAAAATATATTTTTTTCAAACGTTTTCTAAATTTCTTAAAATTTTCTATATATAATTTTTTAATTTTTTATAAATTATTTTAAAAACAATAACGTAAGAGTCAAATAAAAACATAAAATAAAATTTCTATAATTTCAGATGTGTTTGTATTATAACTATATTCAACTTCCAAGAATACGAATGGTAAGTGATTTTTTTAATTAAAATTACTAAAATTGAAATACTGTTATTGTTACCACAATTAAAAAATTCCAACTACATACATGATAAAAAACTTTGTTGAAAATTAACGGTTTTTATTTTATGTTGAAAGTAATAAAAATCATAAAAATTATTTACATTTTTTTATCAAGTTTATATATCCGTCTGGAAATTAAGTACAATACAAAAATAATTGTTTCAAAGAATTCATATAATTATTTGCAATTCTGCAAAAAACAAAAATTTAATTAGAAAACTAAATAAAATTTTCAATCACAATATAGAGAAAGCCCTAAGTAAACCAAAGTTTAATGTTTGTTTTATTATTTACCTTGCAATTCCGAAAATGTTTATTCTATTTTTAACTATCTGAGATCGTTGTTAACAAATAAACTTGTCAATTGGTCAAACTTTAATTGGGGGGTTTTTTTATTCATTATTGTTTTTTTCTAGTTTAAGTAATTATATCAATATAAATTTTTAATTATTTCTTAAATTTGTCAAGACGTCAAGTCGTTATAACTCTTCTTTGTATTCTAACCTGTCATATAGAAGGCAATTATACAAAAAAAGATACAAATAACAAACATTAAAATGACTGTGTCTAGTCCAAAAATATTTCATTCTTAATCTTTTGACATAAAAAAAACAATAATTTTTTTAATAATTCTTTATTTCTGTACACAAATTCATAATAAAACTAAAATTTATTAAAACACATGTAGCCATAACAAATACATAAATATGTAGTTAAAACTTGTTAGAGTAACTGTTTCCAAGTAGTTTTTTTCTTAAATAAATTTGACAAAATTTTAAAACTTTAAAGTTCAATTCTATTTTTAGAATATATGGTTAATTTTAGTTGCAATATTTATATAAAAAATCACATACTGAAACCAGAATTTATTTATATTCAAATTACTTTAAATATTTATGTTTATATCATTTTTATTTCAAAGAATATTGAGTGCAAATTATTGTTGTTTAATTACTTTGTACACTATTTTTTCTTTGTCTTTAAAATTACGACCCTTTAACCTGTAAGCTGAAATTTCAAGTTCATAATACATAGTATTTTTTTCCTATTGAAGACATTGACTTAGTGATGCTTTGCTCAAAAAAAAATCTAAAAAATATAACATTTTAAACATTTATTTACTACAAGACTGATATAACTCAAATTTTGCAGTTTTTAATTTGTGTCCTATTGTGCACTGTTCTACAGACTTTTATATAATTTTATCAATATTAAAAAATGGCTATTATTTTCAAGAGTAAATTCCCAGCAAAAGCTTGATAAGGACTTTCTATATATTAGAACTACTTACCTATTAATATACTTTTCCATGGCTTCTACATATCGTCCTCATTACATATAAGTAGTCTAATAACATCTTATTAATAATGTGTTATATAAATACTGTAGAAACTGCATACGTTTTATTCATGCGATTTACATTAACAAATTTTTCTAATAACTGGTACACAGAGGGAAATAGACGTTTTAAAATTATACATGCTTGGGACCAAATTGACACCAAAGTGCTTATAATTTCTCAATAACATCCATTACTATAGTACGATTCTTAAGAAAAGCACGTTTTTCAAAATACTATAAATAATAAAAAAATTTGCTTCGAAACGATTCGCATATTTTTAATTTCTGTAATAATCAATAATAATAATACTAACATTTGCAAATATTTATATATAATACTTTAAAACATTAACGCTTACACCCGAAGTAACAACTTCTTTCAATTTAGCGCTTTTAAGCAAAACGTGTGGCAACTTAATGTTTGTGTCAAAGCTTTAATAACGCAAAATATGCAAAAGCTATAAAATATTAAAGCTTAATATTTATAATGTTAATAAAATTCGTTACTGTTCAATTTATAACGGCAAAACTTTACTATTATTTTAACAGCAAACTTTTATAAAAGCTATTTTCATTATAAAAGTTTTATGTTCATAAACATTGATTTATTTGATTCATAAAAATGCGTTAAAGCAACCATATTTTTATACCCACCATCAAAAAAGATGGGGGGTATATTGATTTTGTCATTCCGTTTGCAACACATTGAAATATTGGTCATAGACCCACAAATGTATATATATTCCGCGTGCTCATTAAATTCTAAGACGATATAGCCATGTCTGTCCGTCTGTCTGTCTGTCTGTTGAAAGCACGATAGAGCTAGAGGGTTGAAATTTCACATAAATATTTCTTATAGGTAAGGTTTGTCTGGTATTGAAAATGGGCAATATCGGTCCACGTTTTCGGATAGCCCCCATACAAGTGGCCCCTCGAAAAGCAGCTTTAATAGCCATAACTTGTTTAAAAATACGAATATGGCGATGAAATTCGACATAAGTAAGTTTCTTATGATCCGAAATCACTATGCAAAATTTTATGAGGATTGGTTCATAATTGACCCTACCCCCCATATAAGGTCCCCTTCAGAAAATGACTTTAACGCTCATTACTGGCTTAAAAATACTAGTATATAGATGAAATTCGACATAAGTAAGTTTCATACGAGTCAAAATCTATCTAAACAATTTTATGAGGATCGGTCCATGATTGACCCTACCCCCATATAAGGTCCCCTTCAAAAAATGACTGCAACGCTCATTAATGGTTTAAAAATACGAGTGTAGCGATGAAATTCGACACAAATAAATTTAATACGAACCAAATTCTGTCTACCAAATTTATGAGGAGCGACCCATAATTGACCCTACCCCCCTGTATAAGGTCCCCTTCAGAAAATTACTTTAACGCTTATAACTGGCCTAAAAATACGAGTATATAGATGAAATTCGACATAAGTAAGTTTCATTCGAGTCAAACGAGGTTTGATGGTGGGTATATAAGATTCGGCATAGCCGAATATAACACTCTTACTTGTTATTTATGGCCAAATAATGAAGACACTGACAAAACACTAGAACAATTTGGCGGATGTGGTTAAATATAAAATTTCCAACGTACTGAGTCTGTTCAATATTTTCGGAAATATTCAGATTTTGTTTGAAACAGAACAGACAGACAAGCTCACTATTTACAACGCATTTTGAGATTACCACGTTTGTTAACTTTTAGACAACGGATGTGCATAAAGTTTAGATTGTGACAACGAATTGTTGCAATGTTGACAAAGTTGTGTGGTCTACATTACATTTTATTGTTGTATGTATGTATATACATGTTATTGAAAAATTTGGTTTCAATTTTTCTTCTGAGTATCTATGGACATATCGGGAATGCAGTTGTTATATTTTAAGATATTTTTAGAATCATTTACTGAATCGATTTAGCTATGTAATCAAAGCACAATTTCGCAATTTCAAGATAATTTGATGAAATTTGGCAAACACTTCAATTAACCCACCTCCTAATGCTATGAAGATCGGCTAACATTTGAGACCACATATAACGCCACTTTCAGAAAATCAGTTTTTCAACATAAATATTTTACATACTATAAAAAAATTATATTTTAACCCCATTATTCACAAACAAAATTTTTATTTTATAGAAGGTTTATAAAACAAAATTTCCATACAAAATCTAATTTATAAACCGTTTATAAAATAAAAATTTTGTTTGTGAATAAGGGGGTAAATATATTTACTTATTACTGTTGTATGTGCAACAGTAGTTTGTTAATATATTTATATCGGTTCAAGTATTCTGTTCAAAATTTTAGGATTCTCGCCGCCCTTCACCCATTAAGAACTGCAAAACTTTCCAGACTATAAAAAACACTGTGAAAAACTACAATTTTGTAAAACACATAAAGACTTTTTTTCATACCCTAAAATACTTTAGGGGGAGGGTATACAATAATATTGGTCCTTCCACCCACCCACCTTAAAGTATACCAATCGGCTTAGAATCATTATCTAGTCGATTTAGCTATCTCCGTAAGTCTGTTCGTCCGTCTATGTAAACATTGCAATCAAACAGGTCGCAGTTTTAAGATAATTCAATGTTATTTGGTACATAAATTTCTATTGTTCCAGAGACAACGCCTATTGAAAATGGTTTAAAATCGGTAAACTATTTCACATAGCACTCATACAAATATGTTTTATTCTTGCGTTGATGATGCTGCTAATAGTGTAATGATTGGACCTCACTTGACCCTAGTCCTCAAAGACCCCTTCAGATAATGAGTTAAATGTCTATAATTCCCTAAAAAAACATAATTTTCCCCCATTCCCGATATAAAGACTCTTTCAGAATATTAGTTTTTCAACAATAAATTTCTAAAATATTTCGTAGGCACATTACTTAAATTTCCCTTAACTGGTATAGGGTATTATATGGTCGGCACCGCCCAACTGTACTTTCTTACTTGTTTATTTATATAAAATTGAGACCACTCAGCACGCGCGTGTAAAAGGTACTCCTCAAAAGACTAGGACTGTCCTAGGTTAGGACCACGTAATCTTTCCATGCATTACATCAGACTAATCCTAAAACTACGCCCTTGCTATCGGCAACATGTTCCTATGTATGTAATTGACGTTGTTTAAAAAAATGGTCCATGTCTGCATAACATAAGACTTCTAATTGGATCATTTTTAGCGTGGACTAGTTTTCGAATGGATCATTTAATGAAATCAAGTTTGCTAGTTTTAAATTTAATTTCGGAAAAAGTTCTATGTGGAATCTATGTCCTACAATACATTATGCAATGAATTGATATCTTGACATACGACAATTTCCTTAACATAACAACATATAGGCGGATATTTCTGTTTAGTCTCCTGTGAAATTCACTTTTTCAAAAATGTGGTTTTGTCAGAAATCTAGTTTTCTGTTAAATACATATTTTCAAAATTCACTCCAGTTTATTTAAGAGTAAAAAAATTCAAATTATATTAGACAAAAAAAAACGAAGAGCTCAATGCCCCCTTTATTTTTTGTTTTGCTAAAAATAAACGAACTTAATGCCAACCAGGCGCAATGAATTATTGACTCAACTCACACAACAAAAAAAAAAACTATAAACCAAAATTGCGTTAAATAGATTTATACGAATTTATTACTCGTCATCGTCATTCTAATAGTAGAAAAAATTGTTCATTAAATAGTAATAATGCGAAAATTTAAATGTATCAATAAATACACTCCTACTCGTATAAAAGGGGGTAATATAATCGTTATAATAATGAAATGTTAATACATGCCAACACTTCATTTTGTTGCAAATAGAAAATCAAAACTACTGTTACGGTTAAGGGGATTTTTTGATAAGAGACCAATAAATATTGGAGTAATTATTAGACAGATCTTTGAAAGAATTGAAATATTTCTTTAATAATTTTTAAAAAAGAATTAAAAAAACTGAGAATTCTTAATGAGATATTCAAATTTATTTATTTTGTATGTGGGCGTCACACCTTGCCCACTTGAAACTTCAAACAAATACAAATTTATTTTTATATATTAACAATGATTAGATGCGACAAAAATAACTTAGCTAGGAACTCTCGAACAAAGAATAAAATGTCAAAAATATACTGATATGTAAAAGAATTTAAATTGATTTTTAAACTGATATGATTTTCTAATACTTTGCTAACGCCTCATTTCCGTCTCAACTTCTTAGATCCAAATTGATTAAGACCACTTAAGATGTCATGTACACATTTGTTCCAGTCACATACATTTTATTATAATTCTACATAAAAACGATTAAAGTTGTTATAGATAATAGATAAATTTACTCTTTAACAGCATTATCGATTACGCTCAAAAGAAAAACAATCTAAATATTTTATAGTTATTTATTTCCCTTTAATTAATGATAACAAAAAATACAATATACACGCTTATTTTTCTACTACCATTTCTACTATTGCTTTTTTCTGCAAACAATCGTCATTGGCATTTATTTGTGTATTTAAGCTAATTTAGGCCAGGTGAGCTCTATCAAAATTCAATTAATTTTGCATTTGATTTAATCCTTTAAGACTAACCACAAAAAGCTGGAGCACTATCTACTTATATTGAAATGCTTGGTTGCTAGGCTCTTAAATATTAAAATGATATAATGGCAAAAAAGAGCAAAAAGAAAAATTATGACGATTTCAGTGTCATTTAACATTTTACTATATTCTAGAAAGATAACCTACAAATGGAAATTTTTGTTTTTATAAAAAATTAAAAAAGTTTTTTAATTAAAAATAAAAAGTAAATGAAGGGGAGCAAAAATAGCAAATGTCAGGGTATATTAATGTTAATTCACATAGACAAATAAATGCATGATTATCCATATTGTAGTACTTGAAGGAATGAATATATACGAGGTTAGACCAAAAAGTTTTACATTGACTAAAACAAAAATAAAAAAATTTATATAATATGGTAAAATCACCATTGAAAAACAATTTATGTTCAACTTTGTTCTATGGTTCCACTGGCCCAAATACATGAACTTCACTCGAGTACTTGAGCTATCCAAACTCTGACCATTATTGCCCCGTTGTGAACTTCCGAGATGCAAAAACATCACTTTCGTTTACAACCACGCAAATTGGATAATCTTCGTTGATTCGGCAACAGCACCTAGAGCTTTAACCGGTAGATCTAAATGCGACTCCATCAAATAAGCCAAAAACAAGTTCTTACTCACAGAATGGTAGTCAGACATGAACAGAGAAAACCCTGAACACACCTCGACAAGGAATAGAAATTAAATGGTGTCACTTGTATAAGATACCATAAATCCATCAACATTCAACCCAGCAGACTTCTCATATATCCGATATATTCATTCTAACTCACTTCTCTCAGGTAAATCTGTTGTCTTTTCGGCCATAGAACCGAACTTTTTCTGAAATATAGAGTTCATCGTGCATCAGCTTTTTAAATAACATTATATTCCAGCGATTCCAGCGACACTGCCCTGCAGGCTGTTGGTTCCCATGGTACCAAATAAGGTAGGTTCTTTGATTCGACCCCAGGCAAAACCATTCCAATCGAAGTCAATTAATAGTCCCGGCAGACTAAAGATACTGGTAGCACCTTTTTTACTCCGAGATTGCAATCACATCAAGATGGGGAAGTTCATGACCCAGAGGTATTGTTAATAAAAAAAGTAACAAAAATACAACATTTCTCACGAATGAATACCGTGAACTGGACTGAATATGCGACGAAAGGCGTGAACATATTTTCCGATAGCCTTAAGACGTCGTGGTTTGTAAGAGAGTAATAACTAACAGGTCACTCGGGATGTCAAGCAGTTAATTGCTAGAGATAATAAGACCGAAGCTAAAAAGCGTGCACGAAAAAATCTTACACTTGGAGTAACGGAGTACTTCGTAGTCTTTTGAGGTATCCAGAGCAAGAACTTTGAAACATGAGTTATAAATGGGAACAAGGGGAACTTGAGGATATCAATCTGAATTAAAAAGCCCAGACTTGTAGCAACGAAACTATTCGTAGGATCACAATGATCTTATAGAGTTTCCTAAACACGAAGTTTTCTAAGGATGAGAAGAGAGCAGAGAGTTGTAGCAACGAAACTGTTCGTAGGATCACAAAGATCTTTATAGCTCGAGCTATAAAGGGGAACTTAAGGATGTCAATCTGTTCGAAGCAATGAGACCAGAGATAAGAGAAGAGACTTATATCAATGAAAAGATCTTATAGAGTTTCCTAAACACGAAGTCTTTTCAGAATGATTAACGGCACACTTGGAATTACGAATACATATTCAAAATAGATCGATGTATTCCATTTGAAACAACGAAACTGGAACTAATGAGCATGTATCTCATACGAAGAGAAACTATGAAACACTTGTTCTGTTATTACCAGGCATTCAGCGAATTAGAATATAATTCTCAGAAGACTAAGTTTCTAACAATAATTACTTTTTAAGGACAATATAAGGATTCCGATAACAACCGATGACAGCTACTGGTAGATAACCAGGTTAAATATGGAAATTATGTGTAATATGAGAGACAGGACTGAAATAAGACTGATCTCAAAAAAAAAATTACAATAATAACTATTTATTAACTTTTTTTAAAATCTCCAAATTTATACAAAATTAATAAACATTCAATTGATTTTCGGAAGAATTCTATTGATTTTAGCAGAGTTTGTGAAACACTGTTGAAAAATGAGCAATGCTTAAAGTCAATCTAACATCAAATAACATCATTTGTCTTTGGGTCACAAATGCTAAAGGTATCAAATCAAAGCATTAAAAAAAACTTTATAGACCTTTTCTGTCTACCCTCGTTATCACTCAAATATGAAATGTCATTAAAAAAAAAACAAAAAGAAAATTATGCATTAATAAGATTTCTTTATTTATAAGTTTAACATAAATTCATGCAACATATGGATGTAGAAGTTGTACGTATGTATTTCTCTTTATTAGCGGATGCTTGTAAAATTAGATGACAAAAATAGCACTTTGTAACTGCATTTATTTGAGAGTTATTCAAATTCGTAACCAACATTTATAATTAAAAAGCTAAATTTATATTTGATTAACATTTTTAGTAATTTTATTCCCTTTTTAACACCCCCTACAACCTCCAAGCTAAAGTTTGATGTTGTTTATTATCGTAAATGTAAATCAGGATATTTTACCTGTTACTGTATGTGGTTTTCGCGTTTACTGTGCGTAACTGTTAGTGCGAGTGTGTGTGTGTATTTATGAAAATAATTTCCATATTTCTTGTTTCGTTATTTCTCTTATCATCACAAATCTATGTTATTTGTCAATTTCTGTTTGTATAAAAGGATGTTCTGATTGTGGTTTAGAATCACATTTGTTTTAAACTTCATTGTGAGTGCAACAATTTATCAAAACGCTCTACTACTAATAACAAACAAAACGCCATAAATATTATCATTATTATTATTAAAAAAAAAATCAGATACTCATAAAATTTATTAACGAATTTTCGTTATTTTCCTTGTGTGTAAATTGTTATTAAAAAAAAATAAATAAAAAAGGTAAATTGTGTAAGAAAAATGTTTTTCTTTTAAGCAACAATTTTTTTAAAAATAGTGCTATTGAGTTGGTCCTTCCAACTAATAATTACAGAAAATATTGTTATAATTTTTATAAATATATTTAAAAAATTCTTAAATATAATAAAATCGTGCTTCCGAATTGGTCCTTCCGTAAAATAATTACAGATAATATTGTTTTCCCATACTGGAACTAAAAATTTTTTTCTGGATTATTTCCAAATTATGCTTTTAACGAACTATGCAATAGTTTTTTAATGAAAAAAATCTCTTAAGCGTTTCTTGAAACAATATTTCTGAGAAATCATTTTGTTCTTAAGTATAAAGTTTAAAATAATTGTGTTTGTGAATTAACAGCAAAAATGGTCTCCTCCATGCGTCAAGTACTCATTCTCGTCACCATCATTGCACTACTCGCCTGCATCGTATCGGCCAATAACTCTCGACCACCCAGAAATAATGATATCAGTAACATGGCCGATGCTTTGAAATATTTACAAGATTTGGATACTTATTATGGTGATAGGGCTAGAGTTAGGTAAGTCCATAAATATAATAAATTTTTGCTTTTAGGATTACTTTTAAATTACATTATTAACAATTGTAATTAAAGTAATTGAATAAGTAATAATTACAAATAATTGACTTCAGTTACAATTACAAGTAATTGTAATTAAAAAAATAATTAATTACAATTACTTTTAATATAATTAAAAATGTTACTATGTTATCTAAAAAACAAATTCTATAAACAGATTCGGCAAACGTGCTTCCTTGATCCAATTATTGAGAAATCATTTAAACAATGAAGCTGAAATGGTAAATATTAACTCTCTATCAAATATATTTAACAAATTTATAATAAAAACTATATTATTGCTAGAATCATCCCGCTGAATTAGCTGCTGCTGAAGAACCCTTCTAAATTCGGTATAACTTTTCCGGAATAGTTAAACTAGAACAAAAGCCAATCACCAATAATTTCACTAACATATCGCTATTTAACCTGAATGAAAACTACAATCTCTATTATATGTATATAATGATAAATATGAACAAACAAAAAAAAAAAAATAACAAAAAAATAAACTAAATATTTTAGTATTTTTTATCATTTAGTTAATTTTTTGTAAATTATTTACCATAATTTTTTTGGAGCAACCAAGTTATTGTAATGTAATGTGTATACAAATACTTAATAAATATGTATGAATATTATTGTTAAATATAATAAAAAATACACAATTTTATTTATGTTATGATTATTTATTTTTTTGTAATTGTAATAATTAAATAAAAATATATAACAATGTTGTAAGTCAACATAATAAAAAAATGTATAAACTAATTTTTATTCACCGCACTTTAAGGGTTTTTTCTAACTTATATTTAAATTTTATTAACAGGAAGTTAATAAAAAAAATTTAACTTAAAAACTTAAATTGAACACAGCTTTGCCAAAGTAGGAAATGGTTAAAAAATAATATATTAGTATTTCTTATTTAATCTTTAAAATACAGATTTTTATAAAAATATTACAAATTTCAGCATTAGAAAAGTACTTTAGTTGTGGTAAATAAAAGTTTAGCAGTTTAGAAAATATGCGCTATAATAAGATACGAAATTGTAGTCAATACTAAAATTCGAACAAGAATTTTTTGTTTAATTTTCGGTATTCTTTAAAGAAAGCTGTTCTTTAAAGAAAAAAAATAAGTAGAATTTTCTACATGAAAGAGCTGAAAACGAGCTCATCGTATTGCATCTGAAGTAGTCTTGTCCTATTATTAATCATTTGACGACCGAGAGCCGATGAAATTATCTTGTAAGATTATATGCCCTAGCTAGACTCTAGGCATATAATCTATTTTGGAACCCAAAGTATTAATCTTCCGGGATTGCATTTTGTAGCTTGTTTTAGCTCGTAAGTCATAAGAAAAAAGCATTTATTTACTCAATTAGTCAATTAGTCTTATAGAACAGTTTTATAGGATAGTAAATATTAAAGGACACAGACCTTTGAAGAGCACGGATAGACTATGCATACCTTTACTCATGTACATTTACTCATTTACAGAATTTACAAGTAAATGAGTAAATGTACTTGATGATCGGTCGAATTATAAATCAGGCATCGGTAGAGAATGACAAAGTTTATGTACGCTCATGAGAAAGTTGTCTACCGGTAATGGTTTTGTTTATAAAAATAATTCCGAAAGAATTGCTTTAAACTAATAAAAAATAATCGAAAATAATAAAAATTAATCAGCAAATAATCCGACTACTTTCAAGGATTACTTCTGATTCATTTCAATTATTTCCATAAAATTAATCGAAAATAATCCTTGAAAGTAGTCGGTTTATTTTTTGATTACTTTTAATTCTCTAGGACTATTTTCCAGTAATATCAAATACTTTTGAATTCTTTGTAATAGTTAGCAATTATTAATCAGAGATTAACGATTTATTTTGCAAAATAATCGCAATCGAAATTTAAAACCAATTTTTTTACTTACCCGGTAAGCAGGTATGTAATATTGAGGCAAATTATATGTACTTACTTTCTAGGTGAATAACTACTTATTTTTGATCGACGTGGTTCAAAAAATTACTGGTTATAAATAATGGTACCCGACCTTTCAGGATTTAAACATTTCTTTTCTGTCTTTATTAGTCATTTCATTGTTTGGAATAGGTTTTGCCAATTTTTTGTGAAAAAAAAAACTACTAATATCCACTAGGGATAGATCCTCTAACTTCTTGTTTGTTAGACAGATGCTTTTGACAATTTGTTACAAATCCTATCTGAGTACAAGAGACGCAAAACAATTTTCAATAATTTGGAGATATACATATGAATGGATAATCTTTTCTAAATCTGGCAACTTAGTAAATATCATATACATATGTATTTTGCTAACGTACCCAATTCACGATGTACTGTTACTGTTTATTTCTATTAAAAAAAAAACATCTGTTGGCAATTAAATAAATATACATATGTATATATTTTAAAACATTTAAAAAAGTCTGTAAACAATAACGCCAAATAAAATCTAACGTCAAACTTTAAATACCAAAAGAAATTCCTTAATTAAAAAAAGTTAAAATTAAAATTAAGTAAACTCAACTGATCAAAGTTCACATTGAAATGGGGGTATTGATAACATTTTCAATTACAATTAAATTTCAAGTAATTATAATTGAAGCTTAACCAATTACAATTACTTTTAATTGTATGTAATGAATTGCTTTATGTAATCATTACCACCTAAGCCTGATACATAAACCCGATTTATTTCTTAAATTGTATCCGATATCTTTATCTGTATCTTATAAACTACAAAAACAATTTTGTACTATTCTCTTGTTTTATGAAGAGAATTAATTTCATATTTATAAATATCTACTCAGTACAAAAATACAAAAAATGTGCTTAAATTTAAAACAAATCGTAAACTAATGAGATTTTTATAAAAATTCCATTACCTACTTATTATATAGGCAGCATAAATGTTAACAAGGAACACACTAAAAATTAAAGATTTAAAAAATATTTTCAATATAGCAAAAGTTTAATGTTTCCAATATAACAAAACTTACCTAGTATTAAACCATAGAAAACACCAAATGTTATACTACAGTAGCTTTCCAATAAACTGCCAATAATATTACTGCCTATAACACTGCCCGAGCGACCCAACATTAGACAAATACACACAGCTTTGCCCCTAAAAAAATCAATATAACCAATACTTTCTACTATTTACTGACTGCAAACAATTTAACCAACCTTAAATGTGTGGGCACCAAATCCACCACTGCTCCACTTAATATCGATATACATAAACCGGGTAACACCAAAAACAATATAAAACACACGACAATGGCTATGGGTTCCAAAAGCCAATGTAATGCTATACCACAAATTGCCGAAATAGTTAAGAGACCCATTATGGTTACTTTACGTCCCAGAGGATTAATTATCATTCCCAATATAACGTAGGCTCCTATGTAGGCTACACCAAAAGTTATGGAATCTATATAACTTTTAGTATTGATAGTATCGTCACAGATCTGTAAAAAGGGGGGCGAAATCTGATTTGTACTTAATTTCGTAAATATATGGTTATTTTAAAAATCTACCTTTTCTGTTTCATTTTGATTTTGCTGATCGATAAAAGCATCAATTACTTGACATATAGTCATTTTATTTTCATCTGTATAGCTGCCTAAACGATTTTGTATTTCTGGATACCATAGACCCATACCGGAATTGCTGAAAAAGTATTTATAAATAGTAATTCAGAAAATTATTGAACGCAATGTTTTTTGCTAAGTTTTTTTAGTTAGTTAGTTTGAAAGGAGTATGTACGTTATATCAATTCCGATTTAATACATCTAGGCCTCCACCGGGCCAGTTGTCGTGCCCTTACCTAATTTTTTTTATAAACTTACCAGAAAAATACTCCGCACATGATAGTACACGATATAAGGAAATTCGTAACATGAGGCTTCTTAAACAAAGGCTTCGTTTCCCGCCACATTTGTTTCAAAACTTGAGATCTAAAAAAAATCACTATTAGTAAATCCTCATAAAAGTTTAATTTCACTTCAATTTACGGTGATTTCGAGGTAAGCAATATCTTATCGCCTTCCGTTGCTGTTTCATCCAACAATTTGAAAACCTTAAAATCTTGCAAACATTTGCCAGTATTTCTTTTAGCAATCCAATTGACCGCCTCATAAGATTCATCATATTTACCCATAGACATTAAAATCTTGGGACTGTCGGGTAAAGTAGATAATATTAGAACCGCTATAAAACCCGGTAACAAGTAAAAAATGGTCAACAAACGCCAAGGGCGAAAAACGAAGGAATCTGTTATTTCAAAAGACCAATTCATAGACAAAACAAGCCAGGCCACCGCGGGAACATAGGTCATGGACAAACTCACAAACATGCTGGCATAATTAATAACAACTGGTCTATGGCGTGCTATAAAGAATTCTCCTAAGAAGGCATAGGTCGTGGAGGAGGCACCAGCAATACTGCAATTAAAGAATGTGATTAGATTATACAAATGTACTAGATACCTTTTAATATACTTACAATATTCCCACCACAAATCTTAGAAAGACATACAACCAGAAGTTTGCTATAAATATCGATATGAATGACACCAGATTGCCCATTAAAGTAGTGTACATTAAAATCGGTTTCCGGCCATACGTATCACAGAGATAACCCCAAAAGTATGAAGAGCATAAAATACCTGTGAGAATGCGAAAATTAAAATATGTATCTTTTATAAATTAAATTGTTTACAATTCTTAATGAGCGCAATTAAAAACTTAAGTCAATGTACTTCGAGTGCTCCAAGCCAACATACACGTGCCGTTTTAATTACTATCTGGTATTATGAATGAAAATAGTTAGATAAGCATACGAGTAGTAGGTACTTAACAAAGATATGTTTGCTTCCATGTAATTACTATTATTATTTTAGTTAATAGTTTTATAAGTTGTGTGTTGTTGTTTTAGTTAAACTTAAAAATTTACAAGCTTGAATAGGTCTATTAATTCTTTGAACCAAAGATCAGTATTTTATAAGAGATTTGAATTTAATTATTAATAAAATTCTTGTTTATTACAATTTTCAATCTAAACCCTTGAAAACCCACAAGTAATTCATATTAGACTGCCTTAAAAAATGTAAAATTATATTGACTATAGATTAGACTATAAACTAGACTATAGACTAGTCTATAGACTATAGAATAGACTATCACTAGACTATAGAATAGAATATGACTAGACTATAGAATAGACTATGAGTAGACTATAGACTATGACTAGGCTATGACTAGACTATGACTAGACTACTATAGACTAGACTATAGACTAGACTATAGACTAGACTATAGACTAGACTATAGACTAGACTATAGACTAGACTACAGACTAGACTATAGACTAGACTATAGACTAGACTATAGACTAGACTATAGACTAGACTATAGACTAGACTATAGACTAGACTATAGACTAGACTATAGACTAGACTATAGACTAGACTATAGACTAGACTATAGACTAGACTATAGACTAGACTATAGACTAGACTATAGACTAGACTATAGACTAGACTATAGACTAGACTATAGACTAGACTATAGACTAGACTATAGACTAGACTATAGACTAGACTATAGACTAGACTATAGACTAGACTATAGACTAGACTATAGACTACAGACTAGACTACAGACTAGACTATAGACTAGACTATAGACTAGACTATACACTAGACTATAGACTAGACTATAGACTAGACTATAGACTAGACTATAGACTAGACTATAGACTAGACTATAGACTAGACTATAGACTAGACTATAGACTAGACTATAGACTAGACTATAGACTAGACTATAGACTAGACTATAGACTAGACTATAGACCAGTATATAGTTTAGTCTATAGACTAGATTACAGACTAGTCTAAACACTAAACAATAGCCTAAGCTGGTTTAAGTATTGAGATTTCCTTATGGGTACGAGTTTTTACCGCATGTTAAATAAATTGACGTAATAATAATTGAAGATTATTATCACTTAATTCTTGTTATGTTTAAGCAAATAACTAAAACAAAAAAGCTTTGGATAAAAACAATAACGCTTGTATTTATAAAAAAATCTTATTTTGCTTTTAATGCACTCAATAGTTAAAGCACACTTTAGCCTTAAAAACCATTAATAAAATTGTGATATTCATAAACAAATAATAAATGTATATTAACTATTGTGCTGATTTATGTTTAAGTTGGCAGCACTGTACAATATGGCTGTCATTTTATGTGTTAGTGTTGCGTACAATTAGGATAAAATATTCGTTGATTCGGTTTTCTTTATTTCATATTTTTGTTTATAATAGATTTTTGACAATAAAAACAAACTTTTAAGAAAAATAAATATATATATGGCTTTAATAAATGTCTATTTAGTTCAGATGTATAAATATAACATATAATTTCTAATTATTATTAAAAGTATCCGAATAACGGATATTTTGCGACAAAATATACATCACTATGACACATTTTCTTATTTTTACTTATTTTCCTTGTAATTTGTGATAAATTTTTGCAAATATTGATAAATTTCTTTGATATTTGACTAATTTTAATGCCGGCGAATATATTTTGCATTAGTATAACACTAATCAATATAATTTACATGGTTAATTACTTTATGGCATTATATTTAACCAACAAACTTTGAAAAAGCCAAATCAAATGATTTTGTCCATCATTTGGTTGACAGACGCGCATTTCCAAATTGCCTAAAAATAGTGCTGGACAATTGGAATATTGTCAAATATTCATGCATTAATCCAATAATGCCTAGATTTGAGTTTTTTCCTCAAAATATAATCGTTTAAAAATTTTCTGGGATTTTATTTACAAATTTGTAAACGTTAAAATTAGAATTTTTAAATTTTTTATTTTAAAAGAAACCATAATTAGTTTTCGCAATCAACCTAAAATTACCGGAAAAATCTTTATCTGAGAAAAAAATTGTTAAAAATCAACTTATTGTTGGCTTAAAGAAGGGTCGAGCCTACAATAAAATTCTTCTAATTGTCAATGGTTTATTGAAGGTGTTTTAAGCTATTTCACGTTTATAAATACGATTTTCCTGAATTTTGCCTAAAATTGTTTAATAAACCAAAAAAAAGTTTTTATAAATACAGCCGTAAATATTTAAAAATATTATAAACCTAAGCTCCCATAAACGTTACCACCTTTTACGACACTTTAATATTAAATAAACTATTTTAATAATTCAAATATTTGTTTTGATTATAAAATTGCTCTCGTGACAAGATAAATAAAAAAGCCAGAAATAATAAACAAATAAGTAAAGTTTAACAACCAATAAAGTGATTATTTTTGTCAGTCTAAATGTTCTTAATTATGTGGTAAAAACGTTAAAGAAAATTAAAATACTTTTATGACTTCTTTCTAATGTGTTAAAAATTAGAACTTTATTATATATCAGTAAAGTTCAATGTCAATAAGATCATATTCTAAGAGCGGGTTTTTGAGATGATAATCAAATGCCAATTAATAATCAGATTAGTTAATCTAAAAATAAATTAAATCTTACGTTAATCCTCTTTGATGTTTTTGAGTACAAGATTAAACTTCGCAGTGTTGCCATACAAAACAACAGAAAACTTCACTGTTTGTTATCAAAACAATGCATATTTTATAAAAAGAAGAAGACAATTGTAAATTTAATATGAAAATTAATGAAAACTTAAATTAAAAACAAAAAAATGTATTTTGAAGTGTCTATAATTTATACTAATAAAAAAATAGAACATTTTAATGTTTATATTTATAAAAATTGTATTAATTTTTTTGCTCAGCTGTTTACACTTTTGCATTTCGTGCTTAAGATTAAACCACCTCTATTGGGCGCTTAAACTTGCAAACAAAATTAACTAATTGAGTACTCAAAAACATCTTTCGAGGATTAATTTTAATTTAATCGCTAATCTTTCACCTAAAGATTGGCCCTAAACATATTTAAAGTTATTTTATATAGTTAAAAATAGTTTTTGAAAGTATATATTTTCTTCAATGCTATTGTTATTTATTGACTTGGAAAATAATTAAAAAAATATATAATAAAACAATTAATTGTTTAAATTGGGTATGTTTATCAGTAGCTCTCACTACTTCTATTCATATACGTAAGTACTTTAGCATTGAGAACGTATCTTTATTTTAAAATTACAAAATCTTACTCTCAGATATTTTGTGTGAATAAAATTTATTAATTTGCATTAATACCTATACTAATTAATTTTAAATAATATTCTGGTTTTTGTTACTTTATAATTTATGTTTTATATTTTATTTCGCAGTTCAATGATTTTTTTTGACGGATTTACGTATTTTGTTATTTGTTAAAATAAATAATTTATTAAATATATTATTTGTTTTAATGCAAGTAGCAAGTAACACTTGATAAAACAGATTTTCTGTAATTATCATTATATGTACTGGGTATCCTTGTCTTTAGTGTTAAATAATTATTAGATCAATATTCTAATTAAACATATTAAAACATGTTCATTTAATTATCAGCAAAGTTCAATGTCAGGGAGAACACAGTCTAAACATGTAATGATAGAATATTTTTAAAAAGTACCATTTGTTTAATGTTATTGCAATTTTTTATTTACCTCGAAATTTAATTTACCAAATTATGTGTTACAAAAAGTTGGGGATTTTTATCTGTTGCTCTCAATGTATTTGTCAATCATGTAAGTTTTCATTTCAATATTTTTTAAGATATGAGAAAAAATAAGTATAATTAACTAATTTGAGTTTGGTACTTTTTTTAATTTTGCTTTAGTTTAAATTAAATTTAGTTTGGGGATTTTTTATGTTTATTAAACAAAAACTATCAGAAAATGCATGTATAAATAATAGACGGACTCATTCTATATACATATTTCTTATTTTCCCCAAAATTTATTTTGCTTCATGATAATTTTCAAAATATTTCGAGTCAAACAAAACACTTCTTTTCTTGCAAAATACTCCTTTTCTTGTAAAAAGGTCGACACTAAAACAAAAATATTTTATAAAATAAATAGTACTATGACATTTGAATGTAAATTTTGAGAAGGGTAACTTAAACAATACTTTTTGTAAGTCGGTCTAATGTATTTATAAAAATGAAGAAAATCTTGTTTATTTCACAAAAGCCTGCTATATATTTTTTAATTACTTCTAATTGCGTTTCTAATACAATTTTAATATGTATTACTGTTCTATAGTTTGATTTTGCTACTGCGCTAATTTCAAATAATTAAAAACATTACACCCTAGATCAAAAGTTTAGTGCTAGAAATCGAATCAATGGGTTCGTGATAGAGTAAAATTTATACCTAATAAGATAATGTTAAAAATAATAAAGCATTTAATTTGATTTTTTTCCTTAATTCCGGCGTTTGTGCTGCTCCTACACCCACCTTAGAGTACACCAATCGTCTAAGAATCACTTTCTGAGTCGAAAATTTGGAATTTGGGTCAAAAAAAAGAGTATGTGCCAAATTACATTAAATTATCTTGAAAATTGCGACCTGTGGTATGCGCAAAAGCTTCACATGGACACACAGACATATGGACATGTAGCTAAATCGACTCAGAAAGTGATTCTGAGCCGATGGGTACACTTTAACCTATATTTTTGGATGTTGCAAACATCACACATACATCAGTACAAACGCATAATATAAACCTTTAGTTATTGGCAAGTTGTAATAATGGACCTAGGAGTATTTTTAATTTTTATATTTTTTCTTGATTTCTATTTTTACATAGAAATCATATATATCATTTCCATCAAAATCGGAAATATCTTCTTGTGAACCACTCTACTAGACCTACTGCACGGTACTTACTGGGATAAACCCCGTAAACGAAAATCGAAAAACAAGTTTAGGACTCTATTCATGATCATTATTAAATATTTTCCTTTCACCTTACTCACCTATAAAAGCAGCAGCACTCATGATTGCCTTATCCATGGAAGACGAATCAAAATCACATTGTGAAGCAATGGTAATAATACTCATGCCCATTGTCTCATTAATAACCATCATTAAAAGAAGACCACAGGTTAAAAGCACAATCCATTGAGTTTTACCAAAACCAATAAGATCTAAGACATCTTCATAAAGAAACTTTTTTTCCGTTTCTAAACAACCATTTCCATTACTTTGTGTGGAAAGACGCGGTGCGTTCACTACCGATTTTTGCACTTGAGATTCATTGGTATTAATATCTTTATTAATAGAAGACATTTTTTCTTTTTTAAAATTTTTTTGTCACACAAATTTTTTTTCAAAATAACTGATCTAGGTTAATATTTACTAATTTCTTAACATTTGCCACAAATTTTTATTTTTATGATTTAATTCGTATTTTATTAACGTTTCTTTTCTAAACGAACTTTGCCAACTTGCGATACATTTCAAACTGATCAAGCGTTTGATTTTCAAGTTAAATGAAAGCATCTACTAGTAAGAATCTATCTACCTACAACAACCGTTGTTTTGATCAGTAACGTCAACGACAAAAGTCTTTAATCGTTTACGATTATCATTTATTATTTCCATTTGCAAAGTTTTCAAGTGTTTGTTTCGCTGGTTGTAGCAGCACGCTCTGTGAATTACCAATTTTTATCAACCAACTACTAAACATATAGTCAAAGTTATAATAAAGATAAATTTGAAATGAAAATATTTTCTTTTAATCATCAACTTGCAACTGTCATTTCAATAACAAAATAAAAAATATTAAATAAATATTTTATAATATTTTATTTTGTTTATCGGGGGTGTTGAATTGGTAGATATACTAATTGTTTAAAAAAAAGTGGTTGTCTGTTTACAGATAACAAAGTAAATATAGAATTGAGCACAAATTGAAAATTATTTATTGAGGAAGATGTTGTTGGATGTTGATCGAAGTAAAATTGTAGCAGAGTAGTTACTCATTTAAGTGCGTAGTTCAATTATGACGGTTATAGTAAATTTTGTTGAATATTATTTATAATATTAGTTTTAGGTTTTATTATAAATAACAATTATTTACTTGTTTTCAGTTGCCCTGTAATTACCAGATTATAAAGTTATATTTCTTTACAGTTGAGAGTTATTAAATAACATGACTATCATTTCATGTGTAACACTTCGAAATATTATTCGTATATCCTATAAAATATACATTTTCTAGGTCCTTATGACGAGTACATAAACTTCCTTTCATATGTAAGTTGTCACTGACAAGACTATGACTAGACTATGACTAGACTATGACTAGACTAGACTATGACTAGACTATGACTAGACTATGACTAGACTATGACTAGACTATGACTAGACTATGACTAGACTATGACTAGACTATGACTAGACTATGACTAGACTATGACTAGACTATGACTAGACTATGACTAGACTATGACTAGACTATGACTAGACTATGACTAGACTATGACTAGACTATGACTAGACTATGACTAGACTATGACTAGACTATGACTAGACTATGACTATGACTAGACTATGACTAGACTATGACTAGACTATGACTATGACTAGACTATGACTAGACTATGACTAGACTATGACTAGACTATGACTAGACTATGACTAGACTATGACTAGACTATGACTAGACTATGACTAGACTATGACTAGACTATGACTAGACTATGACTAGACTATGACTAGACTATGACTAGACTATGACTAGACTATGACTAGACTATGACTAGACTATGACTAGACTATGACTAGACTATGACTAGACTATGACTAGACTATGACTAGACTATGACTAGACTATGACTAGACTATGACTAGACTATGACTAGACTATGACTAGACTATGACTAGACTATGACTAGACTATGACTAGACTATGACTAGACTATGACTAGACTATGACTAGACTATGACTAGACTATGACTAGACTATGACTAGACTATGACTAGACTATGACTAGACTATGACTAGACTATGACTAGACTATGACTAGACTATGACTAGACTATGACTAGACTATGACTAGACTATGACTAGACTATGACTAGACTATGACTAGACTATGACTAGACTATGACTAGACTATGACTAGACTATGACTAGACTATGACTAGACTATGACTAAACTATGACTAGACTATGACTAGACTATGACTAGACTATGACTAGACTATGACTAGACTATGACTAGACTATGACTAGACTATGACTAGACTATGACTAGACTATGACTAGACTATGACTAGACTATGACTAGACTATGACTAGACTATGACTAGACTATGACTAGACTATGACTAGACTATGACTAGACTATGATTAGAAGTTTTAACCGGAATTAGCGAATGATAGTGTATTTTATATAAAATCAAAGATTCAAAATATACTTTTGCTAAATTTCGCTTCATCTCTGTTCAAATGTTCATTCACAAATCTATATATAACTCAGTTAATTGTCACTTTGTTGTCATGATAACTCCTCTTTTAACCCACATTTTCAAATGTCAATATAATAACGGATGTTTTTGTTATTTGAAATCATAAAAAACAGTTGTTATTTTCATAAATTTATTCATTAACTAACTTGGTAACACTAACACTGTATTACAATAAAAAAATACTTTTCAAAAATTTAGGTTATTTTTTAAAGAACTGCAATATTATGAGCTATATTTACAATTTTATTCATATTGGTCTAGGAGAAAACTACACCCGCTGATCCGATGAGAAACTTAAAATCTGCTGTAGCTCCATAAATAAGGGTCCAACTAAGAACGTAGTAGAAATCTGTGATCACTCATATTTTCCACCATAAATCTACTTTTATATGAAAAACCGTAAAGCTACCGTAGAACCTTACCTACATAACGCTCCAGGGAAAATCTTTAGTCACTCGTACTTCCCACCAAAAATATATTTTTGTATGAAAAACTTCAATTTGGCTGTAGATTCATAAATAACGCACCAATTGAGAAAATAGAAAATAGAGAATATCTCTGATCACTTTTCCCATAAAAATCCATTTATTTACAAATAAAAAACTAAAACTCGGCCGTAGATCCTTAAATAATACTCCAATTTAGAATATACATAGCAAAAATATGTATGTAATCACTAATATTTCCTGCCAAAAATTGATTTTTATATAAGATCGACTGTAAATCTTTAAATTATGCTTCAATTGAGTGAATAGCGAACATTTTTTATTACTTATACCTATTTCCCACAAAAATAGATTTTTATAGAAAAGACAGAAAATCTGTGATCACTCATATACCGGGTTTTATATTAGAAATTTACTCTAATTGAGATAATAGTAAAACTCTGTAATCTCTCGTATTTCACACAAAAACAATCGATTTGAAGACTTTCCTTAATAATGCTCCAATTTAGAAATAGTGATATTTCCCCCATTGTAATTTAATCATGGTGATTGAAAATACATTAGTAATTTATTATAAGGTGATATTGATGAGTAGGAAGTCTTCAGTTTTTTTTTATTCTTATTTTGTTGCCAAGTGTTATATTTTGCTGCAATTATTACAATTTTAACTGTTGCTTGCCTGTTTAAATTTAAGAAAACGGAAAGTTTCATTTGTTTACGTTTTAAATCAACAACAAGTAATGTATTATAAAAAATATAAAAATAAATATTCATATTACAATAAAGTTAAATCTTACAAAACAAATAAACAGCTTTGTTTATTTTTGCTTCTTTTTTACAATTAAAAAAGTTCCCACTGTGAAAAACATTAGAAAATCAATTGAAATTAGGAACAATTTGAATGAATGTGAATACTAATTACGTTTTAATTTAAATTATTTTAATTTAAGAATTAAAATTACAGTTAAAATTATTACTTAAGCTATGTATAAACGGTTAGATCTTACAACGTTGGCAGTAAAATGTGCGGAAAATGTCTAACGACAGGGTCAACTTACAAATTTTGTCTTGCAACATTGTCAGTAATGCTTTTTCTGAAAACGTTGCAAAAGAAAAATTGTAAGTTCACACGATTGTTAGCCATTTTCTGCACATTTTACTGTCAACGTTGTAAGATCTGACAACCGTGTATCACAGCTTTTACAATTTCGATAGTGCTTTGACACTTGCATGTTTTGGATCAAAATGATCTGAATGGAATTACTTCCTCTTTATTCGTTCATCGAAATTCAATGAATTTGAGCAATCCCACTAGATTTACATTATAAATAAAATTCAAAAGTAATTTAGGAACTACTGGGAAAATTTCTCCTGAATCAAATTGCAAAAAATTCTTAAAACTGGTTCCTAAGAACTATTTACGAGTTTTTTAACATCCAAGAATCTAATTGTTATTCAAGAATCTTGTTTTGATATTTGGTAACTAATAATTACAATTGTTGCTTTTCATTTTTACTATCTTTTATTATTCATTATCAACAAAAAACAACTTAAATCAGTTGTATATTTTCCACCTCCTTAATTAAATCCATGTGTTTAAATTCATCTGGTCTATTGGTGAAGGTATCCAAAAGTTTTTGTTTACCCTCATCATTTTTGCAATAAAACATTTGCAATTCATTGGCCAGACATTGAGCCTCTTGGGCAGTCAATACCTTGGAGTCATATTCGCCGCGCATTAAAATAATACCCTTATCTTGCATTTCAGTGTAATGTACTATTGTCAAACATTCAGGAGCATTTTCGGCATGGACCTAGAACAAAAAATACAAGATAATTATATAGGTAACTACACCTCCGAAATAGTTTCACTCATATACCTGATAGGCCAATAAAGGTGTGAAATGAACAGTGTTACTGGCAAATTGCAACATTATAAACTCAAAACCTTCACTTCTTGGCAAAGGCAACAAAAAGATAGGATGCTTTTTGGCTCTTTCCATTAAACTATTAAATTGTTGAACAGTCAAAGTAGCAGCCAAAACATCTTTTGTTTTGTGATATTCAAACCATATTTTGGAGATTTCTTCGGCGGTTTTATCTTGAACCAAATCAATTTTCATGATATCACTTAGTTTTTTGTGGGGAATTTCAGCCTCAACTTGTGCTTTGGGAGCCTTGGGATTCAACAATTCGGAGTAAGATCTGTAAATTTTAATCGTTTAATAAAAGTGTATTTTTTTAATTAAACACCGCCTACCTGGATTGTGATTTGCCTTCTTTAATGGGGTTGGCTACCTTATCTACTCTTTCGAGAAATTCCTCGGGAGAGGTTTGTTGTAACTTGGCTATTTTGTCAGCATACTTATCAAAGTAGGGATTTTTCTCCTTGATCTTATCCAAAGCTTCTTCCGCACGTCTTTGAGCTGACATTGTTATAGTTCTGACAATAGTTTTATTCAAGCCCAACAATCTTAATGGAATTCGAGTACAAGCCATTCCCTCACAGAAAAATAAACAGCCGGAGGTTTTTCCCAAAAGAGGGTTTTAATAATTTGTTCTATGTAAACGTCAAATTACACAACACATGCAAATCTGATTGGGACACTCAAACGGGATCAGCTGTTTAATGTTTATTGTGACAAAA